TTTTTTTTTTTTTTCTTTCCCACTTTTTTGGGGTTGAGGTGTGTTTTCTTGAGTTTTTAAGGTTTGTCATTATTTTTTTTTTCTTTCTCCTCCCCCTGTTTTCTCCTGAAGCACGCAGGCATTGGACACGCTATGGTAAACAAACTGCATTATATGGTAGATATCATTCTAATTGTCTTACACTTTGGTTTGCCCTGGGTTTTCCGTTACCTCTTTCTATTCTGTTTGCTTTACTGAAAGTACAATCCTCCATCAATTCCAAGGTAGCTGAAAAACTCCACCTTTCTGTTTTTCTTTTAGCCCTCTCTCTGTATATATATGTTACTGCTTTTATTGCCATCCAGTTTCCCTCTCCTAAAAAGACTTACTGTTTTCATCCAAAGAGGTCTGCCTAAAAAGATACAGAAATTCTATAAATTAAGATTAAGACTTTTTTTTTTGCTGTTTATTTTCTTCCTTTTTTTTTTTCTTTTTTCTTTGGTTATTTGTTATTTTTCTCGTACCTCAAACACTATCCGTATGAAGAAATAAAGAATCATAATGCAAGATATTTTCTCAATTCAGTATTACAAAAGTTTTCCGACTTACCGTTACATTTTGTTAATCCCTGTTCCCTCCTGATTTATTTATTTTTTTTAGAAAAACCCTATGAAGTGAGCGTACACAGCAGACTTCTCACGCAGATAAATACCCTACTATGGCCATTCCAGTGAAAGGAAGTTAAAAAAAGAGGCTTTTTGTGTATTGATTTCCCCAACTTTCTAACAGCACGGGAGAAATGGCACTGAAGAGACCTCCTTGTTGTGTTGCTTCAGTTGGACCTGCTCGGCCTTTTATGGAGCGACCTGTTATCTAGGCTTGCCATCCTGTGGTTTATGGAGTCATGAAGAGTATTTACAACTCTTGATTTAGTGGTCAAAGCCCTTGCTGTAAAGTAGGCCTCAAATGAGGGCTTGATCCCATTAGTGGCCCTAGGCTGATTTATGATCAAGATGGGGCTGTTCCCAGACCAGCACCTGAGCACACTCCCTCTCGCACACACACATGTGCACGCTTAATAATGTGGCAATCGTAGCCTGAACACAGGTGCAGAGACAACGAGAGTAAAAATAAATCAGAGTAAAGATGAAAGTTGAAAATATATTGGTAATTGCACCTGTGTTGACCTGCAAACTAGAGGTTAGTTTGCCAAAATACCTTGTTGGCATTGAACACTGAACGGTCAACACTTTATTCAAACCTCTTGTACGCTCCATGCATAATAGTGCTGTCCATGTACACTTGCAAACCACTGTTAGTGGGAAGTTGAGGCCAGTCGTACTTGCTTTCACTGGACTTTTCCAATCAATAAATGAATCTGTCTGCCCATTGATGCAGACCATAAAGGGAACTGCCTGAGAAAATCTGAACTGTGTGCGATCGACCCCTCATTAACACTAACACTAACTTATATTTCTTCTACTTTACTGGCCTCACCCTTGCATGAAGAGACTTGAACCTTCCTTCCCTTTCCGATCTTTTCTTTTCTTGTTGTTGTTTTTTTGATATAGAGATTGCATTGAGTATATATGTATATGTATATATCCTGGCTAACATATATACATACATATATCAGTTGTCCTAATATAATCAATACGGCCATAAGACACGTTAGCCACACCCTCTTGATTTTTTGTTTATTTACTTTCTTTTTGTTATTCTTTTTGTTTCTTTCTTTTTACTTGTATAAGTTTAACTTCAAAATTAACTTACTAAAATGAATAATGACCTCACACCTTATCTTCCCGAAACAAAAAAAAATATGGGAAAAAGCGAAGAGGGGAGACAGACTTTCATTTTCTGGTGAATAGAGGATTGATGCCCCAAGGAACAAATCTGGCCAATCCATCATAACAGGAATTGGGAACGAAGAGTGTTATGTGCAGAAAGACGTTGTATCTGGAAGTGACTCACTCAGTCTTGGCTCAAATTTGACGAAAGCGATGAAGCAATTTTGAACTCGCATCAGAAATACTGTGGTGAAATTCAAGTAGAGGCACAAAGAGAGTTGCAATCATGGCTGAATATGGATTTTTGTGTGTGTGTGTCCAATAGTGTCGAGGACACTGACAGTGATGATATGACCCGACCTACTACTGGAATACTAATTGCTCTATTCACCAAAACAGGGACGTCTGCTCTCCCCTCTCAGTTTTCCCTATTCTTTAAAAAAACCCTCTCATTTCCGTTGATTTCATCTGTGGTCGTTAACACTGTTACCATCTCGTCCCACTTCCACCTCCAAACTGACAGTATCCAGTGGTTGTATTCCTGCACCCTGTTTGCATGGTTCTCCTGGCTAGAATGTCTTAACATCAGCATTCTCACGAGGTGTTAATGCTGCTCTAGCCCAGCACGTGTCAGTCTGTTGTACACGTATCTAGATGGGTTTTTATGTTGCCTTCCTTTCCAATACCAAAAACCCTAACACTGAAAGCTCTCTTCCTTTTCCCATTTGTCTGGTGTTGTGGTGCCCTGCAATTACATTTGCTCCCTCACTACTTCCCCATTTTGCTGCATCTTGCCAGATGGTTGATTTTTTTTTTTTTAATTTTTAATTTTTTAATAGTCTGTTTGTGTTGTGTCTAATGGAATTCTTACCCCACCCCCATCCTTTGTGTCACCCTTTCATTTAAGTGCATGGCTTGTGTCACCCTGTTAGCTTGGATGGATTCATTTTGTTTCTTCTTAACCAAAACAAACCCTTGTCACATGAAATAACACATTCAGTCCAAATCTGGATCTGGTTTGAGCAATCAAATTGCAGAGGACTTTTAAAGAATCCTCACATACTCTTGTCACATTGACTAAATTTACTAAAACGGTGTTACTAATCTACTGTTTGAATCAAACCTTTGTTGTAACTGTACTAACAACCATTTTTGTGTCTGACTTTCCCTTACTTACAAAAATACTAACCGATTTCGTTCACCCTCCAACCCTTTTAAATCTTTTCGGCACACAACTAAAGAACCCCTTTTCTCTTTTCCTCCCTCATCCTTTTGACACTTGTTGCCCAAACGACGCTCATCCTAAGCTTCCCAACCCTCCCTAATGTCTTTATACTAACCTAGAAATGTAGCTTTGTTCGAAGGATCATAGTTAAATATTCAAACTTAGTGCGTAGGGTTTAAAGACAAGGCCATTTCTTAACATAGCTTGTGACCGGTTAAGACATTGTGACAAGCTGCCAGACACCTATCGAAGTCCAACGCTGGATGGGAACCCGTTCTTTTCTCTTCTCTCTTGAGCACGTTTCCAATTCGCGTGCATGGCTGTGACCTGAACTAATGGGGGAACCTGTGTGGGCCTCTAACTCTGTAATGTATTGTATTAACTCCAAAAGATAACACATTGTTTCTCCCTGCAAGAGCTCGCTGACAGTAATCAGATGTAGTGCCAACAAGGGTAAGTGATACATTTCCAAGGTAAGCTTGTGGCCTCCCCTGCATGGATTATAATGTTAGAGAGTGAAGCTACTGAAAGGTGTCCATACTTTGTCACATTGTTTTCCATAAATCAGATTTTGCTGACAAATGTACTACATGAAGAGTGGAATGTCGCAATAATGACTGTTGGGAACTGCGCGGTGGTACAACATGGTCTGTACTCCTGAAGAAAAATGTATAAATGATGAGAGCGAGTGACTCACACAGTGGTATTCTCCATACAGGCCTGACAGGATATAGCTTTAAATACTTTAATGTGGGAAATCCCTTAGTTTTCCCTTTAAGTCTTTGGGATTTGGCTAACATAAGCTTCAAGACTGCCGCTCACACTACCTGGATTAATTCCGATGCACCTTTTTTATGAAAGTTGTGGCTCCTGTAGTTGTGTTACCCTCTGTGAGCTTGCTCATTTCTTTTTTTAATTTCACCCTAGTCAGCACTTAAGTTGCTACCAGACTCCTAAAGATCAATAGGCAGTAGATGAGCTGTGAGCGCTCTAGTATGTAGGGGATTCGTGTGCCAGTGTCTCTGCTGTGACGCAGATACATCTCTGAGCACACACAGTGTTCATTTTGAGCTCACTAAACTTAAAACATGGCTTTAGCGTGTACAAAATCTGGTTAGTCTAATCATTTCAAGTGGGATAGGGCTTACCAAACTGCCTTCAAATAGGTTTTCTATGTCTACGTGCTTTCAGTGTAATCACCAGCAGAGTTTGAATCATATTGACCCTGTTTTATATCATGAGAGCCAGATCCACTTTATGGAGCCCCCAGCAGCCTGCAGTCATGGAGGAAGATATGGTCAATGAGCTAGTGACACGCTCAGCTGAGCACACCGCAGGACTCCACAGAGAACAGTTCTAGTTCGCCGTACACTACATGTGCAGCCCCATTACAAAAGCTTTGTTAGTCTGTCAGTAGCCGGTTTATAAGCAGCAAGCACACAAGAGGTAGTGGCTGAATAGAGAGGTTAATATCATAAAAGGAACCATTCTGCCAAAGAGGACCATCTTGGAAGCCGGTTCAGCTACATGTGAATGGGTGGAATAGAATGTGTGTCATGATTTGAACTGTAGAGCTGTATCAAGCGCTTCACAGTATATTCAGCGGTAAACATCTCCAGTGTGGTTTTTATGATATCTGGGGCGCTCAGTTCAGCAAGGTCTATTTAGCTTCTGTGTGTGCTCGGCTTTAGAAGTATTTGAAGAGCAGCTGGGGAGAAAAAGAAAATCAAGAATCTACTAAAGGCAGCAGCAGGGCTTTCTTCTTTGTGTTTTCCTGTTTTAATAGTCCTGTTTCTGTGATGCTGTGGTAGCTGCATGTTGGAGGCACGTATAAAAGGAGGAGCAAGGCTGGTAGATGGATGTTCAGACTGGAAAAAGAGCACAGGAGAACCTCAGAAAGAAGTGTTAATTAGCCAGTTATACTTTTTATATTTAACAGTCGTTCTTTTGCGATTGTCACACATGGCATCAGGTAATTGTGCCGCTGCCTGGCACAGAAGTGTTGATCTCTTACCCTGGCTGTTCTGGATTCCCGCTCTCAGCACTGCTTTTGTTCCACCTTTTCAGTTACTTTGAATGCACTCACAATCAAGGAAGCATAGAGGCAGGAGTTCACATAATGACCTGAACCTCATTTTCAAAACCATTAATTTTGTCTGTGAGCTATTATCACTGTTAAATATAGATGACTAACAGTGGAAACTAATGCTAGAGGTTTACCTCTTTCGATAGTAGACATTTTTTATGTGAAACTGTGCTTTTGAGTGACTTTGTGGTTTCAGTGACCTGTCATTTGCTGCTTCTGTGCTGAAATCAGCTTTGGCAGAGCGAATTAGGAGGATGGATATTATGACAGACGTCAAGCAACGTGTGCGCAATTATAGCATTTTTAAGCCTACATTCCCTCAGTCTGAATAATAGAATTAAAAACAAAGATCTCAGAGAGACACAAAACAGCCAGAAACTCTGTGGGAAAATCTCAATGTTTCATTCACTTGGCATTCATTTAAAGAACAATCTGTCTGCATTTTACAGCAAATGATTTGAGACGAGAATACACGCAGGGTATTTCAACTAGCAACCTGTGATATCATCACCCTTTCCCTCCTACGGCCAGTGATGCAAGTGCCTGTAATATTGTCAATGGAAGAAGTGTGCAGTCTGGTTAAAACAAACACTAGCAAACTCTTGTGAATAATTACAATGTTACCTCAGAGGAAACATTTGGATATTTGTTTTGCTTTTGTTCGTTTTCTGCACGGTTCAATGGCTCATTCTGGGATTTTGACGCATTGTCTCTGAGGGGTTTTCGTTGGTGTTTAGGTTTGACCTGTGGTCACGTAGTTAATCACTAAACAGAATATGATTGCTCCAGGTAATGTTTTAACAAACTGCATGTATTAAAAGCTTTGATGAACCTTTTACATAGTAGAATCTGGGATGCTAGAGAGCGTAAGAGAACGAAAGAACAGATACATTACTAATCTCTAATTTTCCCTCTCAGCTGAAAACTTCATAGGTGTCTGGCAGCTAGCCAATGTTAGTCCCTGATGGCCCCAGTGGGCACATTCAGCCTCGTACATGTGCCATCAACAGTCCACTGTAAAATATTCTTCCAACTTTCCCAAGAGCCAATGATCTTTGTGTTCTTCAGTAATTTAGTCAACACTTTAATTTCAGAAGCTTTACAGGTTATATCTCTACCCGTTGATGTCTCCCATCTCCTTTTTTTGAAAGGAGGTAATGCCATAGGTAGATGGCTCACCCAGAGTCAGAAAAACATGCTTGAAATCACATACATTGTGATGATCCCCCTCCCCCCTGTTTCTCCTCCTTAGCTTATAAGGTCTCTCTCATCACTATGGAACAAACAACCTGCTGAAAAGCCCATCCGAGATCTCCAAAGATGACCCCAACATACCGCCTCTGTGAACTGCAGATCCTTCATGCCAGATACATCTGGCCAATATGATCCATGTTTCTCACCAAGTAGCAACAGCAGACATAAAAATGAGTTGCCCTTTTAAGAAGGGAAGTACGGGGAAAAAAAAGAAAGAAAAAATAGATGAAGAAAATAGAAGATGATAATTCAGCTGGGGTGACTGATCTGTGGAGTGCAGTTGCTAAGGTTTCCCATAAGTCCTCTGTTTTAGAAAGCGTGTCGTCGTGGTTGTGGACTTCTATTTCATATTAAATTAAAGTTTCGTCATAATTGATAGTAAATGTTATTATGCGATAGCTGTTTTTTTTGCAGATTGAAGTCAGTGCTTTTGTGTATTGTGTAAAGACAAGGTGAAACACTGTCTGTGCTCATAGGCTGCTATCAGTCAACAAACTGTGCTTGTCAAAATTATGCTAAAGCACAGTATCTCTAGATCCCATGTGACAAAAAAGAAGTACTGCCATATGCAAATTCTCACCGTACAGTAAATGACCAAAATGCAAAGTTGGACCTTGACGGAATTATGAGATTCAGTGCTAGCACCACTTTTTAGTATGCAGAGGTAATGAAAAGCAGCTTGTCGCGTACGCAGCTCCCAGCAGTTTGGTATTTGTACATTTATGCAGAATAACAGATGTTGAATTAGAGACTGGAGTGCTTCACTTTTGCCCAGGCCAGCTCTTTTAGGATAATTAGACAATAAATTGGTCACTAACTGCAAAAGTCTCCACAGAATCAAACAGCAGGATTTGGCAGGATGTTGTATAGCAGCAAATCTGTGGTGCTGATACTAAATACAGCCATGATCTAATACAATTAGCCAAATTATACTTAACAGCATTTCCATCAAGTGCTGCAGTTTGCTGCATTGTAATGAGTTTAATGCAAAAAGACAAGTGACAATTTCTGGAAATTCTGCACTTGGAGGAGAGATGCATTCTAATTTCAGCTGAGTATAACTCATGTCTCATTTTCATTCACTCTTCGGGTGTTCTTTGACCTGACATTGACCAGTGTGGTGCAACATTTTAAACAGTTGCTTGACCTCATCTTTGAAGGTCTAGTGTTACATTACTACAGGAGAAATCTCCACACATGCTGTTATAGCTTCGGATCAAACGCTTTTTTTAAAATAAAATAAATACAAACAAAAAAATTATATATATATATGAGGTTAGTCATTTTTCTAGTGGTACCAAAGTAGAGCCTCAATACTACAAACATCAAAATATCATTTGAGTTGAAAAAGACTGAGGAAAAAATCCTGGGAGAGCCTCAAGAAAGTACCAAAAAATGCTTTTTTTGGGATATTAAGTCTTGTTTCTACACTTCAATCCAAACTATCTAATACCATCAGCTTCTGGCTGTGTGTTTGATTCTTGATTCCACCCGGTGCTTTTTGTTCTATCAGCAATCAAACATTCAGCACAGAATGTGTAACCTCACACAAAATATATGACTTGAGGCAATTAAATATTGAAAGGGGAATCATTTCTACTGATAGTTCCTTGAATAAAGACGGGTTTAACAAAGGAATGTTACAGGAACATTCTGTCAATCACAGGGAAACCCCTGTCGACATTTTAAAGGCAACGTTACCTGTACAGATCCCGTTTTTTTTCTCTGTTTCATCTAACATTTGAGTCGATGCAAGTGGTTTAGACAGTGTTTAGTGCGTATAAATGGAATATCTAAACAGTTAAAGCCCACCTTTGCTTGTAGTCAGCTAAAGCCGGATTGTTCTTCTACCACTAGCAGTGATTACACAGTCAGCACAGCATTGTTACATTTGTTTTCCCTCAGCAACTGCACTCTAGAGTGAAAGCCCTCAGTCTGACTGTTACCAAAAGCAACCAACCAAACGATACAATTTAGGGGACGGCCCCGCTTACGACGTGGTGTTTAATCCAATTTCTTCCTTGTTTTTCCTTCCATTTCTTCTAATCTCTCTCTTTTCTTATCATTCTCTATTCCTGTCTGTTCCTGCTCTATTCTCTATCTCTCTGTCCTTTTCTGTCTGTCTCTATTGGGCCATGCCTATGCCAGGTGACCATCTCAGTTGATGGTATTTTGACAACAACTGGTTACACCCAGGAGGATTACACCATGTTGGGCTCTGATGACTTCTTCTACATTGGAGGGAGCCCCAACACAGCAGACCTGCCCGGATCACCAGTCAGCAACAACTTTATGGGCTGCCTTAAAGATGTAAGTGGCTCTGACTCATTGTGTAGTTTACTTTTTATAGCTTATCACACATAAAACCATTGCAGACTTTGCACTGTATGTCACCGCTTGAGCTTGGAAACCATCCCGAAACACCATCTCGCAACGCGTGATTCCTTTACAATTTCACACTTATCTTTGTTGCCCGATGTCAAGGTGTGTGCATTTTCCACCCCGATTATAGAAGTTTTGGGGGAGATGTTTAACACTCTGAACAAACCACAAGGAAAAACAATTACATTAACATCAAACAGCTATAGTGAACACATGCCTGACTGCAGTATGGCGTCATCCTCACACATACTCACATAAACACATTTGTGGTGACTGATGCTGTCTCATGAGAATCATCAGTCTGGGCAGATATGTGAGAGTAGGAGGTGTCAGACATACAACATTCTGAATCTCTTTCAAGTGTTTATTTCCTCCATGCTTCCTCCCTCTCCTCCTAACCACACTGCAGATCAAACACATCCACAGGAATTGCACAGAGCACAATGGGCTGGTAGAAAACAGACAGATTTAGAGTTATAGCCATGCCAGCATGCACAATAACACACAGCTACACAAAGTTAGGAACGGATATGTACAGGACAGGTGCCTGATAAAACTTTATTTCAACTCAACTTTGACAAAACTGACTTTTATTTTCACCAGGGTTTTAATTCATGGCTGAACAGGCTGTCAAGAGGACCAATCACAGCTTAAAGTATTATGCCCTTGTAAACGTAATGACTTGTATAGAGGCAACGCAACATGGTGCCATCGCATTTCCTCATAAAACCACGCTGATTGAATAAGTAATTACTTTTGCCATCACTTTTAATGGATCGCACAGTAATCACCCTATCTCTAACTTAATTATGCCTGTAGAATTACATTTTCATTATTTGGGTTGCTATCGGAAGGATCCCTAGTGGGCCTTAAACTTCCCAAGGCGTTTAACTATCCTCTCTCTCATCAAGACAAGCCTGGATTTACAGTCAATGTACAGACAGAGCTCAGGGAAGAGGAGGGGGTGTGAATGATGAGAAAACAGACACTGGTGAGAGTTAACGGCGACACAAGGAGGTGGAAGTGAAGAAGCAAAGTGAAGAAAAGTTCTACGAATGGAAGTTAAAGCAGATGGTGTGAGAGCTGATAACTGAATGCTGTTAGACAGACTGAGTGATCTCCCAGTAAGTACCTGAGTGAGAGGAGATGCTGTGAAGAAGAAATGAGGACAAAATTGTCTAAAGATGTTGCAAGATGAATACATGTAGCGCTACAAATGGGAATTACAAAGGTGTGATCGTCACCTTCGAATCTTAACGTGCAAACTGCACACGTGTTCTTTCCATTGGCAACGTAAGAAAAGGAAATTGAATAAAAACAGTTGGCAGATGTGAAATATGGTAGAGAGGGAGATCGTAGGTTTCAGAAAAAATCCAAGAGCAAAGTGGTCTTACTGTAAACATCAGAGCGTGGCATTCATGTGTCTGCATTCCTCTACCAAGGGCAGTAGTTTTCCTTTAACACTTTGGTTTTGTGTTGTGGAATGTTGATGTGAATGTTTGCTCTGCCCTACAGTGCAACTGATGAGAACTTGCACCACGAGGGTCAACAAAAGTATATGAAGCAACTACATAGTTCACTCAATTTGCAGCCCTTATAATTATTTATTTTTTGTTGACCCATAGAACCCAACCGATGCACTCTGCATCCAATTTCACATCAGTTATTCTTGGTTGAATTACTCTCGAAGCAATAATTGCAGCTAGATGTAGTGCATACTACATCAAACCCCATGACTTGAACTTTTCCGCAATGTGAGTTTTTTGTCCCTGTGACAATATAAAAATAATCTTAAAGTCACATCAAATTTAATCTGAGTTACAGCCACCATGCAGCTCTGTGTCCATCTCCACACGCATTACTCTTGTGTAAATTACCCATGAGCTTGCCATTGTATGAATGTGTTGACATCTTGATATGTAAATATCATATCACAAGAAAGAATGTAACCAGACCATTGTAAATATGCACATGTGTGCATACCAAAGCAGGCAGATCATACTTCTGCAAGTAATCCTTAATAACTTCTGAAGTCCCTATTATTTCATAACCTACTGCATGTCAAAGTAAACAGCAGAACTTACCCTTTTCGGTGATACTAGCTGTTTCTCTGTGCGGCAAAGAGTAATCTGGTTTTGAAATTCCAGCATTTTTGCATTGTCTGCAACATAGGAGTGACATTCCGTCTCACTTTGTTTGAAAAATGAACACAGAATGATGGATTTGCTTTATGTGGGATTTCTGGATAGCCATAGACTCAGAGAAGACTCACGCTTGTTGATGAGGAAAAAAAAAACAAACAAAAAAAACAAGATCTAGCATGTATGGCCAAAGCTTTTAATAACTAAGATAAAAAGCTTGAAGGTAAAGGTAGTAAAATTACTCTGAAAACAGCCTAGGGCTCACAGGGTTCAAGTAGCAAATCCAAGACTTACCACCAGATCCTGTAGTTTGTTAGTTTGTAAATCTGTGTTTACACATCAAGAAGATGCATGACCCAGACTTGAACTTACTAGAAGCTTCCGCTTAGAGTGTTTTCCTAGTGTTTGAGTCTTATGGTCTCAAATTTTCAGCTGCGGTCAAGCTCTAATGACTCCATCAGCTGAACTGAGCCAGAAAGGTAACCACGCAGAAAGGCATTGAGAAAACCTGCAATGAGAGCAACTCAGAGCACCAGGTAGAGTAGTTGTAGCTGAATGTAAAGAGGAAAGTGTGTGGTTGGGGGGTAGACAGCGGTGTGTTTCATCCTGCGCTAGTTCTGTGGGACAGCTTGGATTATCAGTGGTGTTATGGTCCGGGGCAAGGCTTTCATGCCGCCACCGTGGTCAAATGCCTTTGATACGCTTGGCCAGCACCCTCCAGGCGGCAGAAATCCAAAGGAAGAGCACAGCAGAAGAAGAGTAAAAAGGCACCAAAAGAGACACTGAAACCCTATGAAGGTTTTATTTGCTGCATGTGTGTGCGCGCACTCCTCCATGTGAGTTCAAAGTCACCCACATGCTATGATCATACACTGTGTGATGTGTATGTGTTTTCTAGGCTCCCACTCAGAGAGGTGGGGTGTGAAATCAGGTCTCCCTGCTCCTCAGCCTCCCAGTCTTGTTTCCACAGATTCCTCCCTTCGTCTGTTTGTCACCATCTGTCTCTGCAGTGCAGCCTCCTCCTCTCTAGTTCTCTCCCAGTGACCTTGCTATCGCCCATTTCACACCACTTTCTCTACCCCAATCTCCCTCCTTGTGCTCGTCTCTCACTCCTCCTGTCTCTCTCATCACTTCTCTCCATCTCCCTCTCTCTCTCTCTCTCCCTGCCTCTCATCTTCCCCTTCTCAGGGGCAGTTTTGTGTAATTAAGTCCATGGTAGTGCTGTTGGTACACCAGCTCTGCCATCCTGACGGCCAAATTAAAAATTGATTTCTTCGATGGATTCTATGCACTGGATGAATGCTCTTGCCCTCCTCCTTGCCCTTACTCTCTCCCACTCTCTTTCCCTTCCTGCCCTCCCAACTTCATATTGATGCTCTCTCTGCGTCCCCAGCTTCCTCCAAGTGTCACCTTTGTTCCACTGTAAAATCTACTGGAGTCACCCATCACCCCAACTCACGCCCTGCCTACCATAAGTCAACATTCACTTAGACTTTATAGCTGAAAGTGTGCTGCTGCAAAGCTCGCCCTTAGCCTTTTTCGTCTTTGTTTCTTCATCACTAAGGTAAGCGCAGTCAGTGTAAGGTAGTGCAGACATTACATCACAAACAGTCAGTAAATGCCACTAAAGTTGATAAATGCACAAGATGTTTGTTAAATTACCTTCCAGAATGGATTGGTGGATTGTCTGTCAACCAGTTGCAACACTTGTGCAAAAGCAGACTCAAACTGTGTGGTGTATAGGCTCATTAAACATTCACAACCGCAAGCATATGAGGAGAAAAAAAAAAAAAAAAGTAATTATTTTTGTGCTCGAGACCTGCTGGGTTTTGGATTTACAGAGCTTCTCAATGACAAAACAAATCAATGGAGTCACCCCTGTGGGAGGCTTTGGCCCTGCGTTAGGTATGCCATTAGAACCGTAAGAAAGAACAAGTCAGAGTCCATGTCAGAGCCGCACACATTCTGATTTCAGAAAGATCAGTGGAGTTAAGTCAGCACAAAAACACCCTGTGGCACTGCTACGCAAGTCAATGAATTCTGAAGTCAGATGTGATCACATCAAAAGAAGGGACAGAAAGTGTTTCTAGGCCTGATAAACTCTATTCAGAACTTCTGAGGCTTTTTAAACCTTCAACATGTGGTTATTTTATTATTGGACAGAGCCAGTGAACTACTCTGACTTGGCTTGTGGGACTTTACCCCCTAATGTTTAAGAGGACAGAGTAGATATTACAAAATGTCTGTAAAACCAGAGTTTCAAGAAAGGCGTATGGCATAGATGCTAAGTCAGCACAAGTATTTATGCAGAACCTGGCCCTGACTGAGTGCACATTGTCTAGGGCCTTTGTTTTACAAAGGCGCCCATTATTTGATATCTCTGAGTGGGCCGTATATCCTTTACACACTTTCATGCTCCCATGCATCTCTATGTTCCTCCTTTACCTTCCCATTTGTCATTCACCACCTTCCTCACTGTTTAACTCTTTCTCCTGTAATCTCCAGCCTTTCTTCTTTTCCATTTTATATTTTTGTGTTGCCCCTAGCTACAGTTCCTTTATACAGTCGTGTTCTTTTGCTAGGGACACACTGGTAGACTTAGGTGAGTGTGATAACTATTCATACGTTTGTGCAAAATTTTCATATCTGAAACAAACGAGAAAAGCTTGCAATTGGTCGACTGGCTACAAAAAGCAGTCTGAGAAGATGCTGTCACGTAGCCCCATTTTGATACACCAAATCAAACTCATGGGTTGGTCCATCGATCAATGAATCCTAAATTAAGCAGGGAAAAAAAAAAAAAAAGAAAACACAGTCCATTTATAATGTTTTGTTTGTCAAAGTGTAAAACAAGATGTTCTCCCAGGTTTGTGGCTGTTTGTATACTTAAGGTTGAGATTCAAATTGAAATAGTGCAATGCAACACCTGAAACCTAACCTTACTTAACAGCAGCTTTTTAAAAATCTGAACTATTCAAAATATTGCAACTTATCTGCAGTTCATTCAATTTATTGTACTTGACAGTTATTGAGTCTGCTGATTCCTGCTCCCTCCTCCAAGTGGATAGAGCCGTTTGTTAGACTGTGGAGTATTTAACAATGCATATTTTTGCAAGCAAATATTATATACCTCATAGGCTAGAAAGTGAAAATGATGAATAGCCTCGAAGGAAATAATCTAATTTGTGTGTATATTTTACTTATTTACAGTCAAAGCTGACACAATAAATGCAATAAGTGGTCGTTAAACCTTGGAAATGGTCAAACCTGCAGCGGGACTCCAGCATGAAAACTGCAAAGTTAGCAAAAAAAAAACCAAAACAAAAAGCTGTTAATTTGTCTAGTTCACAGTACAGAGCATGGAAGCATGACAAAGCACTTGCTCCCTGCTCACTCCTCTCTGATGTTTCTGCTTTTTCAACACTGTCCTCATCATCACCTGCAGACTTGCTTAAATGCGCAAAGTTATTTACTTTGTTTGGCACCTTCCCTGCACCATCGACTGGAGGTTTTCTTTATTTATTCATGTTTTGACGAGTGCAGGATACATACAATCAGTACTAGACACTAATTACCTGAATGCTGGATACTTGCAACTGTGATGGCAACTGCTATCTGCTATTACATGTTTCCCCAACTGTGTTGCTGCAGCTAAGATGACTTGCTGAATATCTGCATATAGACACATAGCTTATTAATGCCAAAGTTTGGAAGAAGAAAAAAAAAAAATCCAACCGTACCAAAACTATCAACTAGGAAAATTCCAATGGTCAGGATTGGAACAAAATTAAAATAAAGCTCCTAAATTTACACCAGATGGGTGCAAAGACTAAGATTTCACGGATAGTGGCCCAGGAATACGAAACATGTTCGTCATGTATCGACTTTTCAATAACGCTTTGCTCTTAATCACAAAATATCAATAACCAGCCACAGCCAATGCTACACCGATGTAATTATGTCTTCCTGCCTTCATTGTTGTTCTGTTGGGTGACACACTGGATTGCACACAATCCCGCTGAAACTCTGAAAATGTTAACGTCAATGACATATTCAAAGCTTGGATGATAGTCTGTCATTCATTGGAACATAATTACACCTAAGAAATATCAGACTTTTAAAAGCTGTCTGTGGCACTAGTTGCGACTGCTGGTCTTCATCAGTGTCTTGTATTACAGACAGATACCAAGATTCAGAGTTAGGCCCCGTTTTCACTTCGCAAAAATGGTGATATTTCAATGTGTTTGGGCCTTTGGGCCTTTGGCCTTTGGCTTGGAAGTTACAAGTCACTGAAAACGATCATATCTGATACTCCAGCCACAGTGGAGATTTGGAAAAGCTCTGCCTTTATGTTTGCATGTAGATAGAAGGAGACGGAGTTTGACGTCACAGTATGCAACAAAAGCGCCATCAGCGTCATACATGTGTGACCCATGTTTACAGTTTGGCTACTGTGGTAGAAAGTCAATATGTTAAAATATTTTACTTGTTTTGTACTCTAACACCACATTTAGGAGTAGCTCCACTTCTCTGTCGGTCCAAACAAACGACCCTCGGTACATGACAAACATGTTTTACAGGAAGTAATGAGTGGCATTCATTGTTGTGTTTTTTTTCCAGGATTCTGATTGGCTAGCGTAGCTTATGCTTTTCGTTACACTAAGGCAAGCTCATAGCAGCTCTTAACAACGTGTCTATGCGGGTTTGTGTTAACAAAGATTTTTTTTTAAAACACTCTGGTCTAAACAATGCTATTTTTGAAAAAATGGATCCATTTTTGTAAATATCTGGCTATGTGTAAACGTGGCATAAGTCGAAAGAGAAGGTGGAGGACATTTTTACATTTTCCAAAAGCAGAAGGCTCACCTGCTTTTGACCCTCCCAATCTTGTTATATCTTTTATACTTTTTTTCTTTTTTTTTTCTCCTCTGGTTTTGATGCTGGAAAAAAAGTCAAGAGGTCACATTTGGCTTAATGTTCTACAAAACAAGAATACCACTGCAAATAGAGTAAAAATCTTGCCAATATGAGTGTTTTCACTGACCTTTAATCATGGGGGAAATGACCTAACTACTATTAGTGGGAACCATCCTCTGGGATGCAATAAATTTCATATCAATTTCACCATTGCTTGACAGAATAATTGGTCAGGACCAAATTGTTTATGTACTAATTGGCATCATCTTCTATTAGCCCTGCTGTCTGCATGACAAAATGGATGAAAATAATCATATTTGATTAAAAAAAATATAGAACAAAACATTTTCATTGGATTCGGCCAACAATGGATTGTCTGCATTCTAAATCAGTCATTGGAGCCACATTGCAGATACTAACTGGCCTGAAAGTCTTGTCATGTTTCCAGCTTTATTTCCTACCTCATCCTTCTCCAACGTGCTGTGTGATCCTTTGCAAAAAAGCATACCACCAAGCTGCTCTTTTTGTGGAGACAAAGCAGACGGAGCTGAATGAATAAAAAAAAATAAAATACCTGAAAATACATAAAATAAAAATAAATCGTTTCCTTCCTCCCACTGTCTTTTCTCTCTTGCACCTAGCAGCCTCTTTTTCTAGCACCTTAAGCCAGGCGAGTTCACGCCTTATTAGCTGCCAGTTTTAGCGTTATCATCGCTAATTACCAGGACTAATCTCCGCTAATGACGACATTATGAGGTGTACAGTACATGTGGCAGCGTGGCCAATGCAGAAGATAACCAAAGGGAGCTTAAGTTCAAGAATAACCCTGCATATCTGTGTTCTCGTTGAGGATTCTGTGCCTGTGCGTAGGTGTAGTGTTTGACAGCGAGGAAGAGCGAGAGGACAAAATAGAGAGAGTGTGCCTGCATGTGAGGAAAATAGGTAAGATGGAGGGCGTTTGAAAGAGATACTGTGAAAGACAATGAGGAATGACAGCAGCAGTCTGGACAAATTAGGTAGTCAAAAGCCAATATAGTGAACCACGTTGCACAAGACAAGCCTTTAAGTATGAGCCGACAGGCCAGCACAAACAAAAGCAAAGGGTGACTTAATACACAGACAGCATCTCGGCGATAATTATTCCTCTTTCCGCTTTGGGAAGCAGTAGTTTGCAGGCAGGATTTAAGGATTGCAGGATTTAACTGACCTGATTTTACCTTTGAAACAGAACCCTGACAGAGAAGGTTTTCATTTTTCTCAAATGCATTCTCTCTGCAATTTGAATTCCCTAATTTACCAAAGAGAGTGGAAACCAATGCTATAATAAGCAAGGAATAAATATCTAACAGCATTATATGATCTGAAATGTGTGTACAGTAACATAACATGGCTGAAGCGAGGAATACAACTGCTTCCTTTTATCAAAGCAAGCGTTACATTCTTAGCCCAATGAGCAGGTAAATTTTCTATGTTTTTACTCTGTGACAATTCAACTGAGCATTTCAGCCGCCTGGATCAAACCAGAGACTTTACAATAACAGAACCATCTCCTTAACACTGCAGCCTAGACAGCGGTAGAAAACAAGGATAGAAATGTAGAGAAGGGTTTTTTTTTTGTTTGTTTGTTTGTTTGATTTTTCTCCATTAACTGTCAGCGACTATGTGTAGGTGTGCGAGAGCGCCGCATGAAGACAAAAACGCAGAAAGACCTCAGCTGGTTCTATTACCTTGAGGATGGCCTCTCAAAAGCTGTGTACAGAGTGTTCAACAAATAAAAGGAAAACTAAAAACTATGAAAGACAAGAATAATTTACTTTGCCTTTAGCTCTTAATCCATTATGAATGCACACAGTCAGGCACAGACGCACATTTTGAGCTCAAACAATAGAACTGTATTTCATCAAAGGCTGGTGGAGACATTTGCATTAAGGCTGTAGGCAAATTTCACGTCTTTCTGTTTCTGGATTTTCCCTGGAGCCTTTTAATGTTTTCAATTTATTGTGCATTATTCTTTATTTACATTTCTGTAATACATTTTTTTGACAACAGCAAATAGGTTTTATGCTTTATGGATTTGACCAAGAGTTTTATACAGTTGTGATCAGACCATGATGCACTGAGTATGTTGTGCACACTCGCAGACATCAGTGAAATCAATAAATGCATGCCCTGGGCAACTCACCGGTCCCAAGTGATCGTTCTTGGCGTTTATGTTTTTTTTTTTTTAACACTGTATAAGAGTTCCTCACCCAATCATTTAACATCAGTAATCTGAGCAGTCATCTGACCTTAGCTTCTTCATAGGGGATCAGTGGTAGGAGATGTAAAAGCAGCTTCTGTACTGCTGAAGCTGGTTTCATACTGCTGTTGAAGAAAGTCATGCTTTATTTATGCTTTGATTCATCATTACCCTAATGTTGCCAAGACTTCCCAATAGCCACTATACCTTATACTTGAAACTAATTTGAGCTATTAGTATGCTTTTGCAGGCTACCGGTGTTGTGAGTGTTCTGATATGATGCAGCTGAATTTCGTTTTTAGGCCAGAGGAAAGTCCTTTTTAAAATAAGAAACCAGCACTAACTGCCATATTTAAATGGACAGTTGCACATTGCTAGCCTAATTTTGGATGCAATTCTAACCTTTTAACTGCTCGCTGTTCTCTCTGCTCTATAGGTGGTGTACAAGAACAATGATTTTAAGCTGGAGCTGTCGCGGCTGGCCATCGAGCGTGACCCCAAAATCACCCTGAATGGCGATCTGGTGTTCCGATGCGAGGACGTGGCAGCCCTGGACCCTGTGACCTTCGAGACCCCTGAGTCCTACATCTCCCTGCCCAAGTGGAACACCAAGAAGACAGGGTCTATCTCCTTTGACTTCCGCACTACAGAGCCCAGCGGCCTTCTGCTGTTCAGCCACGGCCGCCCTCAGGGTCCTAAAGAGCAGAAGCCCGGCAGGGAGCTGAAGACTGATTACTTTGCCATGGAGCTTCTGGATGGGTATTTGTACCTGCTGATCGATATGGGCTCCGGGAAAACAAAGCTCAAAGCCAGCAACAAGAAGGTCAATGATGGGGAATGGTGCCATGTGGATTTCCAGAGAGAAGGGAGGAAAGGTGAGGGGGAAACTGATCTACAATTTGACTCAATCTTTTTATTACAGTGTTTATTCACATGAATCATTCAAATTTCATACACATTTGCTCCTGTTAACATTTACAATTATAGCTTTGCAGTTGCTTGCAAAGACCAGTTACCTGTCGCTAGAACCACAATATTTTAAAAACTACAATTGTGCAGGTGCTTATTCTCAATCTTTTTATATTTTAATTGCGTTCCGTAGCATCTTTAGGCAGCACATTTAAACTGTTCACTGGATTGGGAAGACACAGTGTCACGGATTTATCAGTCACACAAAATGAGACTGAATTGACTTTGACAAATTTCTGAACCGTCTTTCTCGCCATGCTAATTAAAGCATGTTTTAAGTGGAGAAATAGTTACACATACTAATTATGATTCAACCAGAGGTGGCTGTTAATGTAAATGTATTTTTCATAGCCGTGTGACGTCTTCAAATGCATCTGCCTGCTTGTGGGCACAAACAGGAGCATCTGCATGCCTGAGTGTGTGGTGTCTGATGAATGATCTTAGGTGGGCAAGCACCTTGGACATTTTATCTCCCTCTAATGGTGTCTTATAATGAGGAAGGGTGGGAGTGAGTGTCGGTGTGTGTGTGTGTGTGTGTGTGTGTGTGCATGCATGTGATCTCACTGCCGCTCCTGCTGTAATTGGCTTTTAATAGAAAATTAAGATGGAGTCGTTAATCACAGAAAGAGAGAGGGCCCCTTTGTTTCACCCACTCCCTGCTGCATTCTGCTTCCCTTCTCCTCCATTTAGCCTATTATAGACACATTAGACACACACAAACACATGCGCACAGACACTCAACTGTCACCCACCCCCCTCTCCTTCCTCATATGTCCTTCTGTCTCTGCTCCGTGTCCCTAAATTAGCCACCTACTGGCCCTCCCACTCACCCGTTCATTCTCCCACTTACTCATTCAACCACTTGACCTCCCACCCACTCGCCCACCTAACCAGACCACACACATCTTTAGATGTCTCATTTGTGTTGTCCTTTAGAGCCATTAACGCACAATTTCAATCACTTGCTAAATACAAGAAGCCCCCATATGGATTTGTTTAACTACGTTTCGACCTGTTTATCAGTTTGCCATCATATCAATGATAATTGTTTGTTTTTATTTTTTTTCATAGTTAATATTGTCATTTGTTCTTGTCTTTTAGGATCCATCTCAGTCAACAGCCGCAGCATGCCCTTCAGTTCCCCAGAGGGAAGTGAAATCCTGGACCTGGACAGTGATATGTACCTGGGCGGGCTGCCTGAGTCCAAGTCAGACCTCATCCTGCCGCCAGAAGTTTGGACAGCACTCCTTAACTACGGCTACGTAGGATGCGTCCGCGACCTCTTTATCGACGGCAAGAGCCGCGATGTTCGTCGCCTGGCTGAGATCCAGAGTGCTCTTGGTGTCAGCAGTTTCTGCACTCGTGAGCTCCAGAAGCGGTGCAGCAGCGCCCCCTGTGGCAACGGGGGTCTGTGCAAAGAGGGCTGGAACCGCTACATTTGTGATTGCATTGGCACCGGATACCTTGGTACCAATTGTGAGATAGGTAAGGAGGACGCTTAAGGGCTAGGGCGTCTAGATGGGTGAGATGGTCAAGATTTGAACTCCCTTTTCAACTTTATGTTCTGAACAACTCTGCGTATAACTAGCTTGTCACAGCTGTGTTAAACACTGTTCACAAAAGAAAAAAAAA